ATCTTCTTTGACTTAGGGAAAAGTTAACAGGTGTTTTTCGACACCTGCTCGTGTTTGGCGGTTCACGGGTGTTCTCCACGGAGATAACGTCCCCCTCTCGAGGTCAGAGCTCACTCAGGTCGGCAACTATGCAGAAAGGCAGCAGCAAGCCACTTGGTTATGAAAATGAGTAAACCAGTAAGTTGGTTCTGGTTGGCCGACTCGGTAGCTGTTTTGTTAATTTGATAATAATAATGATAAAAATGATAATCATAATAATAATAATAATGATAATGATCATTATAATAATGATAATAATAATGATGATGATAATATAAGATAATTATATTAATAATAATGACAATAATGATAACAACAACAACAACAATAATAGTAATACTGATAATAATAATAATGAAAAATAATAGTTATGATGATAATAATGATAATGATGATAATAGTAACAGCAACAACAACAACAACAACAACAATAATAATAATAATAACAATAATAATAATAATAATAATAATAATAATAATGATGATGGGAATAATAATAATGATACTACTAATAATTATTGTAATGATAATAATGATAATAATAGTAATACCAACAACAACATTAATGATGATAATGGTAATAACAATAGTAATAATGATAATAATAACTATAATCACAAATGAAAACGACGATAATAACAGAAATCATAATAAGATTATAGAATTATAATATGATAATGGTAATGATAATAATAATGATAATAATGATAATAATAGTAATAATGATAATAATGATAATAATGATAATAATAATAATAATAATAATAATAATAATAATAATAACAATATTGATAATAATTATGATAATAATGTTAACGAAAATTATAAGGCTAAAATAGTAATCGTAATGAAAATAGAAATAGTAATAATGTTCATAATAATGATGATAAAAACAATACTAATAACATAATGATATTGATAATGATGATAACTATAGTGACAATGGTAAATAAAGATAATATCAAGGATGATAATACCGCTAATACTTTTTATCATAATAACAATGATTATAATACTATTACTGCTATTAATTAATATTATTATAATGATAATAATAATAATAATAATAATAATAATGATAATAATAATAACAATAATAATAACAATAACAATAATTATGATAATGATGATGATGATGATAATGATAGTAATAATAATAATAATAATAATGATAATGATAATAATAAGATAATACCAATGATGATAATACCGCTAATACTTTTTATCATAATAACAATTATTATAATACTACTACTGCTATTAATTATTATTATTATGATGACAATAATAATAATGATAATAATCATAATAATAATAATAGTAATAATAATAATAATAATAATAATAATATTAATAATAATAATAATAATAATAACAATAATTATGATAATGATAATGATAATAATAATAATAACAATAATTATGATAATGATAATGATAATAATAATAGTAATGATAATGATAATGATAATGATAATAATAATGATAACAATAAAGATAACAATAATAAAAATAATAATAATGATAATAATAATAACAATAATATTAATAATAATAACAATAGTAATAATAACAATAATAATAATGCTTTTCATTATCCTTTGCAAAATCTTTCCTCCTTGTTAGCAATCTTGAGTAGTTGCTGCTTATTACGAGCTTTTTCAGTATACCAAATTCGGGTTTTAACAATCTTTCTAATAATACAGATAATTATAAAGATAAAGATTCGTGATACCCGAATTATGTATCATGTTATCCTAGATGTTTACCCAATATAGTAAATAAATACTGATATTTTCAATTATAAAGAAGCACTTAATTTGGTACAATTATACTCTTTATCATGATAAAAGATTACCCAGCTTGGCAAAACTACACTACCCACAGCCGAAAAAGGACACCAGTCCACACAATTTGCATGGAGATTAATATTACCCGTATGATTATCCAACTATAGCGTAAGATTCCTGTTAGATAGACTCGACCACTTTCTGCGTGTTAAATGATAAGAAAGAGGAATAATAAGAAAAAGAAAGAAAGAAGAAAAAGAAGAAAAATAAAAAAGGGAAAAGAAGAGAAGAATTAGAAGGGATGGATTAAAAGAAAATGAAAAGTAGAAATAAAAAAGAAAAGAAGAAAAGGAGGAAGGGGAAGAAAAGAAAAAAAGAAAATAAGAAGAAACAAACCAAAACAACAACAACAAGAAACGAAAGAGTAGAAAAAAACGGAAGAAAATGGGCCGTGGACGACCGGGCGACCAGCTGTCTGGTGAAATCGACGGAGAGCTTTCATTATCCTTTCCGATGTATTTGAATACTTCCCTTTTCTATCACCTTTATTTGAGACTATTATTTTGATTTCTTTTCTGATCCTCTTGTATCAATATCTTTAATTACGTCCTTTATTTTCCTTTAATCTGTAGCTCAATTTTGATCTCTAATCAACACATGGTAGCGAGCGTTATGCAAGGCACTCTCCTGAGGCATAAAACCAAGTTTGTATATTATGTATAATAGCAAACAAAACACTTCTGAACTGGTAAAAATATTTTTTATTACCTCCAAATGTACACTTATATAATCCTGCCCAAAATATACCGAAAACCAATACTTATCTCTGATAAGTATTGGCGAACACAACACGGCAGCCCTCAAGGCTGGTTCCGGCCTCTGTCTCGAGGGGTCGCTGTGCTCCTTGGGTCACCTTCTTGGCGGGACCCAAGACATGCAAATTGTTGTTGTGTACTAATTTAGGGTCTCGTTCGGTAGTTTGGCGTAAACACAAGCGGGCTAATCCTTCTGTTTAGATATCCCTTACGCAAACATAAGATTTTACTTTTATTTATTGACATGAAAATGGTAACTTTTATGTATAGTGTATTTTTAATTAAAAGTCATTGGCACGTCCGTCAGATCTGCTACACCAGCGGTTGGAGCGCTGATGCCAGGAGCCACAAATCCAGAAGGGCCGGAGAGGGAGCCGGCTACGTCTCGCGGCCATCTGGATCACAGCCGGATGCCGCGTTGAAGTCTCCCTCGGCAGTGCCAGTGTCTCGTCGCGGGCAGCTTGTGCCTCGTCAGCCGGAGGAACTCCACTCCCGGAGGCGGAGTCGGCTGGAGGCGGCCTGGCCTCTGTCCGTCGCTCCGGCCGACCCGTGCAACCAACTGCACGAATCAGAAAACAGAGGAATAAGGAATAAGAAAAAAGTGAAGGGGCAGATAAAGGAGAAGCTTTGATAATACAGATAAAAGGTGAAGTATAATGAGCAAACGGCATATGAAGGAGAGATAAGGATAAGGTAATAAAAGAGAGATCATTGAAAATACAGATAAGAATAACTAGAATAAAACGAGAGAACCGTGAACAAAAACAGGGATAGAAGATTCTCGATTAAAAAAAGGAAAACGATATTCCTGGCATCTCCGGGCAGGCGGCTGCTGTACTACCGTGGCCGCTATAAAGTTGGACTTTTCTTAAAGCTTTCTTATGGGATTGGAGGGGTTGGAAAATTAGAAAAAGAGAGAAACGGAGAGTTAGAGAGTTAGAGAACGTGAAAGAAAGAGAGGGATGGAGGGGAGGGATGGAGGGAAAAAGAGACTTCTGCAAAAAAAAAATCGCAACAGACGAGCAGCAATGTTGCCATCGAGTTCCAGAGCGACTGGCGCCCAGGGTCCGGGCGGCGGCGGGCGGCGCAGACAGCGTGGCGCCGGAGAAGCACTGCGATGTCAGAGGCCGAAATTATCTCGGCCAATTATTTAATATCCTTGAGCAGAGATTTCTAGCCTGCTTTTATGATCAAGAGCTTTTTCACGATGGCGATGAGGATGATAGTTTGCAGTGTGGACTTCGATCCAGAGGGGAGGGCGACACAGTTCCACTCGCGCTTGATTTTTTGTGGCACCACAATTTCCCTGCGCGGGACTGCCTTAGTTATCCAGGTGACCATTTTCTTTTTTTTCTTTTTTTGCTTTCATTCTAATTACTGCCTTATGCCATTTTTACCTGTTCTTCTTTTGTTTGGAACATTTAATTTGTATTCCAAGTTTGTTGTTTTACCCTCGAGTCTTAGTTTCATTTTATTGTAGACTTAACTGATTTCGCGGTGTCAGTGACATAACACGTCATTGTCTGCCTAGTCATTTTCTTATTGTTTTATTCTAACTCTTTTATTTTGAGTTCTGAAGGCTTACATGATCGGTTTGTATATTTGTCTCATTTTCTTTTTTTTTACTACTTGGGTTTTAATTTAGATTCAATTGATATGCGTATTTTTTCTTATTTCGCATCTTTATGGTGTTTTATTTCCATTTTTATGTATATATTTTATATTATATATCTTATTTCTCAAAATAATTTTAAAGTAAATTATTTTGAGAAATGTTTCGTTTTTTTGTGACGTCACGAGTCCATGACATCCTGCGACCTATGGCAATAAACAGTGTCAACTGGAATTCTTTGCATTTGGATCTACCCTCCCCTCTGCTGAAGCATCACCAAAGGTTGTACTAGTCCCTTATGTTACTTGCCTAGTTTCTATTTTCGCTGGACGTATCAGTATAGGCATCGATAAGGCATTGGCTATATACAAGTTACGTCTCCCAAGAATAACAGTATTCCTTGTTACGTTCTTACAGCTCAGCTCTGTTCAGCCTATTCAGGGACTCGATTTCAGTCAGTGCCAAGTTCATTTTATTATATTTCAATGTCGATTTCAGTGAGTTGCGTATGGTTTTAAACTTTTACCCGTTATTTTACTGTATTTTATTGCTTTTGTATGTTCCTTATCTGTGTTCTATCTCTATTTTTACTGCTTTTATTGCTTTTACTTCTTTTAGTCTCTCAGCTTTGATTGAATCCTTTCCTTTTACGATTTAAGTCAAGTTTTACTACTGTTTAACTACTGCTTATCTGTTATCGTTCTTTAACTCTACTTTTACTCAACTTTCTCTTTTATGATTTCA